CATCAGCTTAATAGGGCCCAAGCTTCCTGTAGTAGCCTTGCGAGCAACACGTGCTCCCCCCCCCCCCCACCGGCCCATCAGTCATACCTTCCCAATGCTTCTACGATGCCCATGCCACAAATCCTAACCATTGAGTCGAAGGCTCGTTTGTAAGGTGGCTGAGAGTGACGCAAATGGCAAGGTAGAACCTTGACAGGCATGCTTCAAGCTGATGAGGATATTATGAAATCATGCAACTAATACCGCAGGATTGTAGGAACGCTCTTTGTTGCCATGCGCTGCTTGCATGCATGGAACGGGAAGAAGCTTGTCGACATTGGCCCTCCCCACAATTTCTTTGCAAGCACCTCCCACTCAGCCCAGCATTCGGTCCGCTAAAGTTGCACTGGCTTCACATGAATCGAAACCAGCCTTCTTGTAGAAGATCTGGCCAATGGGGCCATGCCTGGGAATACAACTGAACAATGCCAAATTCTCTGAAGAATTCCTCCCATTCCACCAAATAGCACCAAGATGCAAGATGAACATAGGGAACGCAATGGAGCCGAGCGTTACCATTGGCTTGGAACCGAAGAACTTGGTAATTGGGGCCTCATACACTGGACGCTTCCGGTGCGTGTCTGACAACATGAGGTAGCAATACAAGGAAATCCCGATTATAAGTCTGACTGAGGGACCGGTTCAGCACTCAAAGCATCCCGATGCATCTGTGTCAGGAACTTCGTGAAGATGGGCACGAAAAGCACCCCACGGATAATGGCATCCTCGGCCACGGCGTTGGCAATGCAGTGGGGACAGCAAATCTAGCAGTCCAAGTTGGGCTCGGATCGTGCGGCTTAAAGAGTTCTGAGAAGAACAGGCCTTCAACAGTACCATAGTACCTCTTGGGATCCGGCATTGAAGTCAAAGCGAGTCAGCCGCAGCGCCAGCGAAGCGTAGGCCGCCAAGAAAAGCCACAGCGGATTCCTGATCAAGAGGAACCTACATGCAGACTGCACATACGAATGCCAGCCCCAACTTGAAAGAACACCTGGGTATGCATGCAGGCGGCGTTGGCTTCTTCTTCTTGTCCTCCTCGGTGTCCAGCATCACGTGCCTGGCTGCCACGATGCCCATGGTCATCTCGATCAGTGCCCAGAAAGGGTGGAAGCGAGTCAAGTTCCAGATCCTTGGGACCAGCCCAGCGTGGAAGAACACACTTCAGAGATGCTCTTAGCCGAGAAAGGGACAGAGGGTGCATGGCCTGGCCATTGACCTCAGAAAGAAGCATGCAGATGGAATCCACACCACTCCTGGCTCCACCGGCCGAGGCACTGGGTGCTCCTTGCTGCTGTGGAAGCGCGCGGTCTCGGAGTACGAGACCTCCGCAGGAAAGCTCACCCACAACAGGGGCTCGCGCCAGCATGCTGCACCTTCTGCAGCAGCGAGATGCCGGTGAGGGCGGCGAACAGCTTCTGAAGGCCTTGGCGTTCATCTAACATGCCAGAAGTGGGCCAGAAGTGTTCCACAACTTTTCAGATGTTGCGAGATTTCGGTCCGAGGGGCCGTTCTTAGAGAGCTGCGCCACCTGTGGCAGCACCAGCGTCGGCA